GTTCTGAAGCTGTGGTCTTTGTTGAGCGGCAATATTTGGACGAGGGCCGTACCCATAATTCTGTGGTGGAGGAGGAGAGTTGAGTCGGTTTTGGGCGAATGATTGTTGAGCGTTTTGGGTGTTTACCGCATGAGGTGGACGGAAGGGCTGCTGTTGGTGATTTGGAGAGATTCGCCCCCGACCAGCCACAATGGGGCCGGTGCCATTCTTGGGAGGGGTAGGATGGCTGTTCATCGCTGATGTCTGAGAAGATCTTCGCCGTTCTTGAAGTCGGCTGATTGCTTGCGCCGCTTCTTCAGGCTCGGCATGACTAGAAAGCAGCAGGTTGCGTCAGTGATGGAAGCGTTTGAAGAGGTAAAGAGTCCGTACGCTGGAAGGGCATCTGGGTTGAACGCTTTATTGTAGGCCATTGTACAGTTCAGCAAGCAGTTGTGTTGCAGATATAAGATGGCGGTCTACTGCTTCTTGTAGATGTAGCTGGCAGGCCAAGGATGAGGCCCCATACGCCTTTATGACAATCGAGAAGTGCCAGTCGTCCAATGCCGGGTGTGGAGGCTGTGTAATGCAGTAAGGGGCGGTCGCGTCGGAGGACGGTTTCGAAAGTGAGGGTGAATGAGCAAACAATGAACAAAGCAGAGGGCAGATGAACGCTGATTGCTAAGACATGAGTGATAAGTAATTCATGTTATATGTGTTGGCATTAGTTGGCGATTGAGACTCAAAGGGCCAAAGACTCATGTGGTGCACTACATGCTGGTGGGGCCTCCCAAAACAGAAGCCTATACCTCGAACGGGCGATGCTAACATACTGTAAATAGACAGCCCTCTGACCCACCAAAGGCTCCCCTTAAACTTCCGCCCGAAGAGACCCTAACTAGCCACAAGGCTGAGAGATGTCACTAACTGTTCTCGAGTAACTAGTTAGTAATTTGTCCAGATTCGCCTAGTCCTAGACTGCAATGTCTTTTTCGGGTTTTCTGCCATACAATCAACAAGGTTCCCTGCCCAACAACGACGAAAATGGACAGTGAAAACGTGGCCGAAGACTTCTGGCTTTTCGGTTATGGGTAGTCTCACCTTATGAATATCTGATCGTCCTCGTCTAGACTGACAATAGCAAACTGCAGAAGCTTGATCTGGAAGCCCCCGCCTTACTATGGTACCCAGCGTCCTTCCAATAAGACAGTAATATGTTGTACACTAAAAAGCCTCTTGTAAAAGACAAGCGATTACCTGGATATATCACTGGCTATGTGAGACGCTTCTGGCAGGTATGTCCGAAAAGGCAACTCTTTCGCTGCTTCTGATGCTGATGGAGATAGGCAAGGTTGGCATTCTTCATTCGCAGTACCTCATAGTTGTTGGATGTAACTTGTGTCTTTGAACAGTGAGGATCATCGTGGGACGCCTGACTTTCCGGGACGCGTGGTCACGTTGGTCGAGCAGTCATACTGGGAGAGCCTTGGTGATACAGTGAGGTTGGAGCAGTCAAGTGACAGGCAGTGCTGACTGATCTTTGTCAGCAAGGTGGCACCGGAAGTGAGCAAGTATGGGGAGCAGCATATCACATCGTTCCCTCAAAAGTGGAGGAAGTCAAAGACTATCTGGACATCCGAGAGATCAACGGATATAGCGTGCAGTACACAACGTTCCATGCTGCTCATCCAGTCTCAAAGCAAATTCGATGTCTAGTATATATTGGCATGCCAGACAACCCCCAATTCCTGGGTGCTCTGCATCCTCAAGATGTTGCTGAAAGGATCAATCAAAGTGTTGGCCCGAGTGGAGAGAACCGAGAGTATTTGTTGCAGTTGGAAGAGAGTTTGAAAGACCTCAGCACAGAAAGTGGAGACGTGCATATCAGTGACCTAGCAAGAAGGGTAAGGAGTATGGAGCCCAGAAAAGGACGTCCATATGGAAGTCAAGATCTCAACCCCCACAAGATAAGCAGTACTGAAGAGCAAGAAGAGATAGAAAAGGCGTCTTGACAACGCAGGGACAAACAATTCGTGCTTGAGTGGTTACTATGTGTCAGACTGAACTCGCATGCTGCAGGTTGCCCAGCAAGCAGGCTGTCAGGAACAGGAGAAGAGAAAAAGAGAGCGATGTTGTGCATTTTGGCCGCTTTTGCTGAACTTGAATAGAAGGAAGACCGGCTGCGCTTCAGCATAGACAAATAAAGCCATGATGACTTTATCAGTGAGTGAGTGTGTTCACGAGGACTGCTATGACGGATTGCATGTCAGGCAGTGTGCGCTTTACACATTTTCCTGCTCAGATCCGTCCTGCCCAGGTTGCGCTGCTTCATGAAGGACCACGCTCTTGAGACAAAAACGCCATTAGAAATCGACTTCATGGACGCCATCGGTATCTGTCTTGCTGACCTTCCTTGCTGAACGAATCAACTTCCTTTCTTGAAAGGTTGCAACGACAACGAAGCAATTGGGGTATCTTGAAAGAAACGATGTCGTCCGCGCGCAATCCTGTCTTCAAGAACGAGACTGAGGGTCATAACCACCTTGCTGTCCGTAGGGATTGTTGCCCTGGGGTGGCTGACCATATGCACCACCCTGGGCTTGTTGATTGTACCCACCACCTTGGCCTTGCTGGCTGTACCCGCCGCCTTGACTCTGTGGGTTGTATCCACTTCCGTAGGCTCCAGGCTGCTGTCCGTACCCACCGCCAACTCCTCCTCCATATCCTCGACCACCCCCATACGATGCGCCGCCGAAGTTGCCTTGGCCGCCAAATCCGCCGTCGTTCTGACCACCCCAGCCTCGACCACCTTGGCTACTAGGACCTCCCTCATTTTGAGATGACCAGCCTCTGCCACCCATGCTTCCTTCGTACTGGTTACCATATCTTCCGGCATTAGGAGCTTGACCGACTCTTGGGGCTCGATTGCTTGGATCGGCATGATCGACTCGGATGGTGCGACCGTCAAATCTGGAAGGATTTAGCGACCTGGGGCACGGAGCGCTGGATGCAAAGTTACTCGACGTTGTTCATCTTTGAGATGGCTTCTTCAGCTTCAGATTGCTCTGCATATCGGACAAATCCAAATCCTCGACTGCGCTGTGACTGACGATCGATGACGACGACCTATGAACCACCACAAGGTTAGTCTTGTACGAATACACGACATCGGTGGAGCACCAACCGCTTCTTCAACCGTTCCAAATGGAGCGAAACCCTCACGCAATGTCTCGTCTGTGGTGTGCCAGGCCAATCCACTGGATTTCGTTGTCAGTTCATCATTAGCTCACCCTGAGCGGACTGGGGTATTGTATACCCAATGAACAGTTTCGCCATGTTGCTGAGATGGAGAGTAGACAGAGCAAGTCAGAGAAAAGTGAAAAGTGAAAAGTGAAATATTTTATTGTGTCAGTGTGTTTCTATGGGAGATGTGGGTGCTAGATGAGGACAGCAAGGAACACTAAAACCTTGGACGTATAATTTCAGCCTTGAGGCAAATATGCCAGAGGCGAAACCAATGCTGCAAGCGGCTGTGGAATAAGGTGATGCACGGGAATACTTAGGCAGCAAAAGCTTGCTAAGAAAGCTGCTTACTATGAGGCTACAAGACGACCTATTGATGGCGTTTCAAAGGATGGTCGCAGCAACGAATGGGGGACTTCTGCGCTGTCTTGCTCTCCTCTGAACCACCACATCAGATGAACCACGACTGACTGCTTCAAAGAAACACCGGTACGAACCGAGAAAAGTGAAAGGAGGGGTGAAGAGGATGCAGGGCCAATGGAGGTCGATGTGGGTTGAAAGTGTGGGCGCTAGCCACCATGGTGGACACAGATATCTTGGTTCAGATGCATGCACCGTCACTCTCGCCAGTCGGTACAGGAGCCCAAGCAATTCTTATAGGGCCGTTTTAAGCCTCTTGCCTACCAATACCGGGGAGTGAAGAAAGTCAGTCGAGCAAGATGGCCAATGGGGAACTACGGATAGGCGAAAAGCAGTGGGTTTTGTTTTGACATGCAGTGGGGGAGGCGAGCAGAAGACCACGCCGCTCAGTCCAGTGCATACACTGCCTCTTAGCTGCCATCCATAGTCAGACGATCGGGCCTTCGGAGAGAATAGTGATGGCTTCCTGCTATTGCTGCTGCCGGGCAGCGCCGCAAACCGTATGTAGTAGGTGGCTGTCCAGGAGCAAGCGAGAGATGGGGCTGATGATGAGATCTGGACTGCATCACAAACACACACACACATATGCCACCAGCAGATCTTGGTGTCTGCTTTCAAACACTCAATGGACGCATTCCTCTTGCTCTGGGGAGTTGATGACAGCGCCGGGCAACCAGACCAAGGTCGGATTTGAAGTGGAGAGCCCGAGAGACAGAGGCCGAGGAATCCAAAACTTTAGCAGTCCAAGAGAAGTGAAACGGAGAAAAGCGCCACTAATGCTAGTTAGTGGCATCAGCCTCCCTATCAGATTCGCCCCACTTTTAGACGGCCATCGGGCCAGATGCTGGGCCAGATGCTGGGCCATGCTAGTTATGCCCACGCCGAATCTCTATCTCACTCAGACCACTGAGATTAGCAGCAATCAGCATTAGTTGCAGATTCCTGGCGAACTGCTGCACCTCGATCTGTATTCAACCTCGCGCCAACCCAAATCCCCCACCCAGCCAGGATTTCGTCATCAGGTGATCAACAAGCCGGAAACCTGTGACGACGTATGTGCTACTTGAGTCTGCAAGTGCAGAGCATTTCAATGGTAGGTAGTCAGGACTTATACCTCGCAAGTTGCGAAACAGCATCCTTCCCGTGTCTCAAAAGACGAACCGGCCGTCTGGCATCCGGGTACTAGTAGGGCGAAGCTTCTCCTAGTACATAAGCTTACTATTCTCTCCGTACTAGGGTCATGCTGGCCGGCGTCTTATCTTCTGATTCTTGCGGCCTCGTCTCCATCGAACATCTTACCCCTTGGACCAGACTGCTGCAGTAGAGCAACAACAGCGCACATGATGTCAAACCCATCTTTGTTGACCGTAAAAGCCGACTGCGACAACGGTTGTGCAAGCTGACAAGTTGACGGCACAGAGCATTGGCATGGGCCAGCACGTGGGGCATCAGCATCTAGTCGAAATGCAAGTCATCAAGCGTCCAATTTTATCCCTTTCTCAACATCGTTAGCCTGAGGTACAGTTCAAGGTACAGCTTCATGTGCACCAGCTTCCATGCTGCCGGGGTGAAAATCAACCTTATGTACCATGTCCAAAATCAGTCCCTCCTTCCTCAGATCTAGCAGTTTGGTGCTCCATCATGATGCAGTACAGTTAGCGCCTTCTTCACATGTCATCCTGGTGGGATGACGATTGTCTTGCTGGTCGTGCCGGTCAAATGCCATTGCTATCCCTTCGATGACAGCTAGGTGCATGCGATGCAATTAGTTGTGCGGCCTGGTAATAGAAGCAGCCGCACTATGGTGCAGGGTTGTGCCATTACTGTCTCAATGACATGACAGCAATGTCCCTCGCCAGGTCGTCCTTCCAATCACGTGAATTGATTCAACGATGGTTACTTGATATCCCCAGAGGTGTAGAAGACTCAACCGATCAGAACCATGAACAAGATGGAAACGCCCAGAGGGAGCAACGTCGAGAAATCTCTACAGCGTAAATCTCACAATCTTCAGCGGTCTTCTGCAAGATACGGACTGATGAGACACACTCAGTACCGCCAAGGCAAGATTTGAAGGACGTACCCCGTCAAGGGGTAGGCTTCTGCGTTCGATTTTATGTTACGAGTTTCGAAGAATGACCTCTGATCCGCTCGGATAGGCAACAACTCGAACACACCGCACTGTAGCGCCCTCTACCGAACTTCGCGGTCTACCAAAGACAATCGAAAATCCTCAGCTTGGCGAGAAGATGATGAGTCTTCAGGCAGGAACCAAACTCATATTGGCAATTCGAAACGTCGCCGGTCGACCTCGGTCCACAGACAAGACAATGAGAAGCGCAAAAGACGCAAAGCTGTGAAAGAATGTCCTTCCATCTCCCGGAATACTTCAGTCCGTCCCTCTTCGCCAGCGTCATCCCTTGGCTCCTCAGAAGCTCTTCCACTTAGAAGAGACACGCTTGAGCGCCGCGGTATAAGGGTAGAGCAGTATGAAAGGAGGCCAAGGCATAAGACGAAGGCTAATAAATATGACTTGAAAATGCGGGCGAAGTCAAGAGAAGCCAGAGACATTGCGGGTGGGGACAGGAAGTCGAACAGGAGACGCCGAAGGAAATCGGGCCTTACTCTGAACAGTGATTTCAAAGCTCCGAATGTTGTCCAAGAACGACTGACTCTAAAGGCGAACAGTGGCCCGGGCATGTTCCATAGGGGAAAGGCCTCATCTCCAGTCCACATACGGGGCATGCCGGACCTGTGCTTTACAGAAATGAACTTCCTCAGCAAGCGACGTGACCATCAAGAGCCGAACAAGCGCGATCCCAGACAGGCAAGATCTTCCAAGAGCAAAGAGAAGGAAAAGAGTCGAGCTGAGCAGATATCCGAGTACTTTCAGCGTTCACAGGCAGCCAAACCATGCATCGGAACGACGGCCCAGACCATGGTACCTGAGCAGAACATGACTCAGGACTCACCTGCAGTCTCTGTCCTGTCTACGTCTGATCACCAGGATCTGGATCTGGACCGTCGTCAATGGACACCAGCTAGTCATGGTTTGAGTCGTCATACTGCCCAGCAAATGGACCGCGATGCCGCTGTCACCCAGGGATGCCGTATTTCAGATATCGAGGAACCGCAAACAGAGCACCATCGGCGTCATTCGAGCCCTATAACCAATCGTGACCAATTGAAGAGCTCCTCGTCTTACTATAGCTGGTCAGCCACACCATCTCGGCAATGTCGAAGCTATCAGGAAGCTACCACCAACTCGCCTAAAGTTCTTGCTCAAACCTCGCACCCTGATGGCTTTCGTGTTACCACAAAGCAGCAGCACGCTGTATACAGCCGCCCAGTAAAGTCACCTCATGACCAAATTGTCAGGGAGCCAGTACATGAAAGCCCCATGAGCCAATTGTCACTGGATGAATACACTAAAAGCATGTTGCTTGGCTCCAAGCAACACTTGTGGGGTAAGTTTCCAACCAACTACCGAGCCGCAGAACTTTACACTTTGACCGACCTGAAAGGCCTTTCTCGGCTTGGGAAGCTCGAAGAACCTGGAAAGGACGGTCATGGTTTGCAAGGCGAGGATGAGCAGCGGGAGTGGTTTTTGAGCAACAATGGTTTCAGATTCGACACCGAGCTAAGCAACACTCCGACAGCTCACATGCCTACAACACAAAAGCGGTCATCTATGATGGTAGGTAATGCTAGTAGTAATGATCAGCATCTGTCACCACATATAAAGCTTCCAATCGCCGGTTCAATGACGAACGGTCATTCAGCTGGGCAGATCTTCGATGGTGACATGTTAGTCAACCGTTTTTCGATGCCAGGTCTGAGTTTTGCGCCGTCTGGGTCAAGAAATAGGCCTACCTCAGAACAGTCTTATGGAGATCCTTCCTTCGAAAACATACATGCAAAAATACCCGCCAGAACCATCCGATCGGTTACTGCCACACAACCAGGCCCACATGAATACCGGTGGACTAATACTTATGGGAGGTTGCCCCAAGATGCACCAGCCAAAGATACTGCGCAACAGATCATTCGTGATATTGAGCAAGAAGAGCTTCTGATCTCTCAAGCTAAGAACCACAAATCCGGAGCTGTAGAGGACGTGATTGATATCGCTCTGGATGGCTTCTCAGACCACACAAGCCAGAAAGACCTACGTGAGTTCCACGATCTACGTGACCACGATCCGTTCCCACTTCAACAAGACTCCGAGTATTCAGAGCCGAATATCCATCGTCTTCCGCCAGGCCCAGCAATGGCTCAGCCAGTGCCCAGCCCGCACCAATCGTGCTTGGACCCTGGTCGGATGAACGCCGACCGATCCCAAGATCAACGCCTTGCCAAGAATGTCCGTTTTGCGACGGATCAGCAGTCCGGATGCCTATCTCTCTCAGTAAATGACGAGAGCGGCCTGGCAGAGCAGCAGAGGCAACAGGAGGGAGAGAACGCTTTGGAGAACTTTTGGAGGCCGAATATCCTGTATTGATGTGGTGTGTCTCTGGCATGGTAGGCCGGTAGCTGAAAGGGAGGGTTTCTGGGGCTGTGATGAGGACGGATATCGATCACCCTTTACGTCTTGTTGATGTGATTCTAGTTCACAGCGTGGGGTGTGAGTTTCAGGTACATGAAGTGATCATTTATAGATACGACTATATGAATAATATTCAATTCTTTTATTTCGAGTTCTTCACACCTCTACTTCTTCCTCTTCTGATAATAAGTTGGATTAGAAACGACCTTAGGGTGGTTTGTTGACCAGTCGAACAGGTTCGCCATTCTAGCATTGAGCGAGTGCTCTGAGAGGTCTACTGGGGCGACGAAAAGTCGAGAGAGGGATAGCCAGATGTCGTTTAATGGGCCTGAAGATGAATGTTACAACCAACTCATGCACAGATCTGCATACCACGTTTGAGGGCTCCGGAGATCAGTGTTCATCATATCATGCAAGCAGCTGGGTATTGAACTATGATATATGCATCTCGCTTTCGCGCTTCCGATCAAAATTCCGATCGAATAAACTACTCAGCATTCAAGGCTCTCTCTGCAGAATATAAAGCACCAGTACCGACCCTTCCCGCGGCGCCGATGCCCAAAAGCAAGAACATAATCCGATTAGTTAGTTGATTGCAAAGCAAGGCGACTGTATCTGTGTGCAAAATGGTATCTGGTATCAATCGCGGAAGAATAACAAAGAAGTGGTGGTGCTCGCTTGTGGGTGCTTGTAGAGAGTAGACAATGCGAATAAAAAGGTATGTGCCTGAACGGAGGATCTTAGTATGAAAATCTGAATGGCTAGCGTCGCGAAGCCTCCATGTTGCCTGTCAATTCGGCCACGCGTGCTTTGATTCGTGCGACTCTGGACTCGATTGCTAGCAATCCGTAAGCTACTGGGTTACACCGTTCGGATGGCTCATGACTTACTCTCTTCGCCACTAATTGCACCCTCATCTGTCTTCAGCTCACTTTGTCGACTCTGTTCCTCAATTTGCTTTGCTGCACGCTCTGCAGCGTTCTTTCTGATCTGTGCCCATCGATCTTGAACAGGAGAAATTTGTCTGGTAAGATCCTTGGCTTCATTGGCTTCGTCGGCTTCATCCTTTTCGGCCTGGCTCACGAAAGCGCCGGGAATCTGTTGGAATGGCTCTTCTGTTGCAGGTGTAATCTGCTCCGATCGAACAGGAGACTCCGGGGGTATGAAAGCAGGTTGTTCGATGAGCGGCCCTTGATCAAAGGTCGAACGTACAGGATCCGCTTGTTCTCGTTCGTGGGTGGCTGCACGAGAGAGGTTCTCACCCTCTGCAGCATAAGGCATCTTGGGAGCATCGTCAGAATGTGGAACAGCTGTTACGGAGGGCACGCGGTCTGATGCCGGTGGAGTGTCAGGGGCTTCACAGGCTGGCTCCGACGGTGGGGTAAGCGGTCTTTGTGATCGGCCATGAGCAGGACTGGGCGTCTCATTATGTGCTTGTGTGATAGCTTGATGTACAGAGTGGCCATTTGGCTGAGGTTTGCTTTTGACTGCAAGGGCAGCGCGTGCTGCTGCAATTGCTGGACCGTTCTCAATGGGAGGGGAGACCGGTGGCGTGAACGATGCCTCTTTGACGCGTCTGCCGCCAAACATGCCTTTGATGCCTGCTCCTGCGGGTCTTCTTTTCCCCGCCTTCATCTCTGGTGAAGATGGCAGAGCTTTTCTCGGAATTGCAGCTTGAGGTTGTGGGGTCTGACGATCAATCGCAACTGGCCTTGGTGGCTGCGGTAATGATGTGGCCGCCGGCTCGCCAGAGGCTGCAGTGGTTGTTTCGGTGACCTCCGTAGATGGGGCAGGGACCGGCTTCTGGTTTACTATGGTGGAAGGTGGAGGACTCGGTAGTAAAGGAAGATGACTATCTTGAGCTGGTGGAGGACTTGGAGTCTTTGGCAGGGAAACATGCTTCGGAGGTGTAGGAGCCGGCAGCACCGCGAGAGGGATATATTTCGAAGTAAGTGTCGGCGAGCTTGGGAGAGCGATTCTTTCAGGTGGTGTGGGTAGCTCATCTCGTTTTGGGGGCTCGGCAAAAGACACAGCGGAGTGGTTTGCAATCGAGCCGTTTGCTGCTGGCGCTGCTGGCGCTGCTGGCGCTGCTGGCAGATCAGGAGTGCTTCCTCTGCTGGCCTGGTCCTTTCCAAGATACTGGGCCATGAAATCCTTTTTATCATATTGGCTAGCCCACTGCATCGCTTGCGTTGCTTCCTTCATTAGCATAGGTTGAAGCGTCAAAACGCTGTCTGTTTTGTCTGGATCGTCTTCGTGCCGGCCTCTACGAGGGCTATTCGCCAGTCGATCCTGCTCTTGATTCCGGCGATATAGCTTTACAGCTGCCGCTTGTATTTTGGCATGTTGATCTGGTGTAATATTGGTTCTGTTGATGGGCGCAATACTATCGGCATCCATGTAAGGATCGCTTAGTGGCGCTCTCTGCTTAGGCGTCGATATCCTCGTTAGCCGTCCTCGCTTGGTTGTAAAGCCAAGAAATCCTTTTTTCTTTGCGATGTAGGTTCCTGGTGCAGGTTCTGGTGCGGCGCCTTTGACCTGTTCCTCCATGATCATCCATTTCCCACCACGTATAACAGTCTCAATCAGTGCACATCTACCAAATACTGCTTTTCGTGAAGTGGGTTCTTCGACTGCAAGACTGCTGATCCACACCCACCAGAAAGAATCATCCAAAGCTATTTTGTCAATCCTTGCCAGTTCGCCGGGCTCCAGGTCAGCTTCTGGATTCATGTTTCGTCGGTGTGACTGAGAGCTCTGGCCGCGGGGAGTGGTATGGATAGGAGGTAGGACTTTGTCTGGAGGCAACAGGATCGAAGAGGCCGTCTTATCACCATTCTCATCGAAGCCAGTAGAGAGAAAATCCGCCCAAGAAGGTGTCGTTGGTCGGCCCATATCCCAATTCTGTGACAGCGCTCGCCGCCTCAGACTATCGGGCTCGCCTTTTGGACCAAGCATAGAACCATCACCGTCATCATCTCCGTCGGACTCGTCTACCGCTGCGCCAAAACCCACATCCTCGAACCTTGACCATGACGCATCTCGAAGACTGGTAGAGGCTTTGGACGTCGAGATGGTTGAGTGGTTTGTAGAGGAAATATATTTCAGAACTCGTCTGCACTCCTCGGTCAAAGCTTGCACCGGATCATCATAATTGGAAAATTGCTGCAAGGCGCTGTCATCATCTCTATACTCAAAATTCTTGGCCCGGCGGAGGAGCGCAAATGGTGTCGGCGAGACACTATTGACAACCATGACAACCTTTGTAGCCTCATTGAACATGAGGGTTGGGGCTTCTGGCGGATACTCTGTGGCCTGCACGAGCTGCTGAAGTGAAGTGGGAAGTCCTATGATACCCTTGGGTCCTTTCGCTGGGTCAGGGTACAACGAGCGCAGATAAGCAAAGAACAAATGGCTCGCAGCATCGGCGGCGCTATGAATGTCAGAATCTGTCGTTCAACATCTGAGACGACTTACCTGGCCCAGCCTCTGTAACCAGCATTGAATCCTTTGCCAGTATCATAATGCTCAAACGCCCACCATCCGGCATATCTCGAGAGTTTGCGCCCTCCCAGACCATTGGATTTCCCGTGCGCAGCAAGAGCTGCCATCAAGTCGAAGAAGTCAAATACGATTTGTCTGCGGGCTTCGCAATCGACGCTCATGGGTATAAATGTCGCGAACGCATCTCTTGCAAGAGCGGAATCTGGATATCATTAGAGACCTCACATAATCGGCATTTACAGATGGCTTTACCCTTTTCGCCAATTCTGAATAGCTCATATGTTTCCCATGTAACTACCCCACCTGGCAGGCGGCTCCAGCACCATTTCATGACGCTTGCTAAGACCTGGAGACATCAGCAACCCAGTCGTATCCTGTGCCACAAGCTCCCATACCATCGGCTCAATCAAACGGAGCTCTCTTGTCAATGATTCTCCTTTGAGTACTTCTCGATCTGCCGGCGGGAAGAAATAGTTTCGAACGAAGGCTCTGGCAGCGCTGGGATCGGAGGTTGGACGAAACGGTAGCAGGATGAAAGGCAGATCAAGCGCTAGAAGCAAATCGTCCAGTTAATGCTGTTGTGAAGTTTCTAGGGTAGCTTGGAGATACCTCTTGACTTCAGTTCCCGCGTACATCCCGAAAGTAGCTCTACTACTTCTTCTGGGTCCACCCGGGTGCGTATCCAAGCATCACTCCATTGCGGTGTTATCGGAGCAGTGTTGCCATTGACAAGTGGTTTTGCGCTTTTCTTAGACGATAGATCACGGCCTTTGAAGAACCTGGAGAGCGACGGCATATCGCTGTTCAAAAGCAGCGCAGACTGCAGCTTCTCCTTTCCCGTCTACGTTACCGATCTTCTTCCGTCTGTAGTCAGATATTCGTTGATTTCCTTATTGAGTGAGAGAAAACACCGTGAGAACGGAGACAAAAAGAAACAACGCAGCAGCGGTAGCGACCGGACGTATGTGTCTTTATGTTAGGGAAAAAAAAGGTATGTTGAAAGAGCGAATGGTTGGAGGTCTGGCTGCTAGTTATCAAAGCTTGGTGAAGTAGTCTTTTTTTTACAGAAGATTATCAAACTTTCAAGAGGATTATGCACAGGGAAGCTTGACAGTACACGAAGGGAAACTAGTCGCAAAGAGGTTAAACTGATAGCTACTCCATGCCCGACAAAATCTAAAATAGCATTAAAGACAATTATTTGGATGACTATTGAAGAATAACCAAGAAGCACCAAAGGGGACACACGAAAAAAAGGATCGGCGCTTTGAGCGCGTTGTCAAAGGTGGGACACGGTGATTTGCCCTGAATTGGATGCGCTGGCTCAACTGGTTTGAATTGGCTGCTGTCACTCTAATTTAGTCTTTCGCGGTATCCCACATGTGCCCGCCGCTGGCTAATCAGATACCTGGCATGGGGCAATCGGTCCGGGGGGTTTCAAAGCCACCATGAAACTAATCCGAGAGTACCTAAGCAGCTACCAAACAGAAACGGGAAATTTGGTTCAAAAACGGACTGCGTCGGTTGCATCCATCTTGAAACCTGCAGCATCGGTTATGTCTTGTCGGCCATCGCATCCGAGATGTCGAAGGTTTCTCGGAGCACTGGTGTTGGTAGAAGCAATCGGCGAAGGAGAGGAAGCACACCAGCACTGGATAACGTATCAAGAAGCCTGGTCCACCAAAGCCGTTAGGCTGCCTTGGAAGCAAGGGGAATTGGTCCCACAACCCTGGTCCTGTGCTCCCGAACAAACCCTACTGTCCCTGCAATGTGGCCATCATCAATTTCCTGCTCGTCCATTGACGGTCCGTGGATTCAGTCCCGTCGACGCCCAATTTCGAAGCAAAGTGTCAATATAACAATGCTGAAGCTGGATAGGACGACAGCGGCTAGCACAAGGGCATACGTTACCATGGTGCTTCTCTATGGTAGTTCTGAGATCATGCAACCAATGAATATGCACTTACTCAGTACGGACGACTCGTTTGTATGCCAGCAACGACTTATCTGCGCTAAACTACAAACATACGCAGAACCTCTGTACTGGCCATAATGCGAAGCAACTGCGGACTTCGGCGACAGTACTACCTCTATATCCAAAGTGCACAGGTAGGCTGTCTAAACAAAGCTCCAATCATGACGTATGTAGATCTCCTGTCATGTCAAAGTTTCATTGGGGGTCTCGAACGCCTATATTCACCTCAATCCCCTCAATACCACTTCGATTATACTTGAAGCTGCGCCTGCAGCAACATCAAGACACTTTTCCGCGACATCAAGCAAAATGGTCAAAGACGACGAAACTGTCATTGAGTCAGCTGCGCCAGTTACACCCCCGCCCTAGAACTAAGAACTAATTGATGGTCAGAGAGTTCAATGAACTCGTCAACATGACTGCCGACGAGCTCGAAGCCTGGCTAAAGGAAGAGCAATCCGAGTCTTCTGGCTGGTCCAAATCCGACGGCTCCGGCGAAACAATCGGCCATGAAAGGTAAGGCCTCGACCGGCAACATTCCCCCTCTTGGCCCCATCTCCACACAAGCCGCACCACTGACGCCTTTTCCCTTTTCGCCCCAGCGGCCGCAAAATAATCGAGATCCTGAAAAAGAACCCGGAAAAGGACCCTTCGAAATACGACGAAGACGACATTGCGCACATGCGGCGAGTAGCGGCATATTGCAAACGACACCTGGCGCAGGAGGAGAAGGCGAAGCAGGATACAAATAGTAAGAGTTATAAGAGTCTGAAAAATTGGGGACATGATGCACAGAAGACTTGAGAGAAATGCACAAGACTGCGGATTACCGAGAGGGGCGGGACTCTTGGTCGTGGAGGGTATGAGGTGGTGGTAATTGATGAGAGAGTTCCATAGCCATAGAGAAGTCGGGTGGGCTAAATCGCTACCGGGTTTCCGGGGGGATATAACGGCTCTACATGATGTAGAAAGATAGAAAAGGAAATACACAACTACAGAACTGGAAAGATACATGAATGGTAAAATCATTAGTACCTCTCTATCTTTCGATGATGCCACACCGAGGTTGTGGTTCAGGCTACCTCCTACGCCCGTGAACAGTCCGTTTCAACACACACACCAGATAGTTATATCTCCGAAACCACCTGGACCACCACGGGTTTTCTAAGATCGAGTTTCGTTTCGACTCGACCCTCAACTGGAAGGATAAGCATGATCTCGGACCCACCAGAACCTCGATCTTTGATCAAAGAAGAAGGGGAGGAGGAGAGCGTCCATCTCACTTACCATGACCATCCATTCGGTTCCCTGGACTTCAAGTTTAACTGACTATTCATCTACGATCTAAACGGTGAAGAAAACGGCCAAGATCAAGATCCATCAAGTATCAGACTCGGGAATCTACTATAACCTAAGTTAGCTACAATTCCAGGGACTAGAAGCCGTTGTTCAATTATCACCAACAGAGGAGCCTATCATGAATACCCAGAAATAAATATAGGTTGATCGGTATATATCCATACATAAAATGCTTATGATGGGCACGAGCGGACTAAATGTTGTTTCTTACTCAAAAATAAATCATAGCCCATCTAGCTACAAGGTTCCTACGCTTCACTGCTCGTCCACAGCTTCCCATCATCTAGCATCGTCAGGACAGCAAATTCTTCAAACTCGGACTCGCACTAGCCCCGGGTGGAGGTCTTTGGCGCTCCCTCTCCCTCTCGTACCTCTCTCGATCACGATCACGGTCACGATCTCGGTCACGTTCACGTTCATGTCCTTTGTCCCTCTCCATCTCATATCTTTCACGGTCATGGTCGTGACCACGTTCGATATCTCGATGGCTTTCCCGCTCCCGCTCTCTGTCCCTTTCTCTTTCCCTTTCCCTTTCCCTTTCCCTGTCCCTATCCCTCTCTGCATCACGCCGCGGTCTGTGATCTCGATCCATGTTCACCTCCCGCGGAGGAGGGGGGGGAGTAGCTAACCTCCCGTGCGGGGGAGCATACCCGTAGCCATCCAGACTATGTCCTCTGGAGCGTGAATGCGCATGCGAATGGGTGTAAGAGTGCCCCTGATTGGATTCCCTCTCTGGCGGTGGCCGAGGATAGCCTTGAAAGGACCTCGGTGGCATAGTCATGGATGACGGTGGGGATCTGACATGCGGATCGGGACGCGATGGTGGTGGTGGCGGCGGCGGAGGAGGCGAAGTCGAGTAGAGATGTGCATTTGTTGGACGTGGATATGAGGGAGGTGAGTAATGCGGAGGCGGGTATGATGATCTTGATGAAGCGTGATGGCGAGGAGGGTGGCTACGAGGGGGAGGAGGCGGTAGAGGAGGGTGCTGGGAACTATGTCCAGTCATTGAAGGTGGCGGGTGTGCATAAGGTGGTAGGACATGGTGAAGTCCATTCGCCCGGCCTGGAGACGGGTGCGACGATGGAGGGCCGTTCCGCATGTGTGTTACAACTGGCTCCGAAGGCCACGGCCTATATGGAGTCTCTACAGGACGTGGCCAGGAGGTTTCCGGATGCGGTGGTGGGTGCGAATGCATTTGATTGAGCGGAGTCGGGTAGTCTGATGATTGATGGAAGATTGGCTGTTGGCTCACGGCGGAAGGACTGGGCGGTTGGACCGCCTTCGGTATGCGCACCGCAGCATCGGGAGATGGCGGGGCTGGCGGAGGTGATCTTCTGGTCAGGTGGCATTTGTGGCATTGATAAAGCCTTTCCTCAGGCTCGTCCACTTCCATGATGCCATCTAGCTCAAAAGACGCGGCCGGTTCTGCTTTGATAATGCCGTTCCTGGATGATGATGATGATGATGATTCAAAGGTTGTTGTTTGTTTGGCTGTGGACGGCTTATTCCCCAGAGAGAGTTGTTGATATGTTGCCTCAGGAGCTGAGACGCCGTTGGTGCTTTGCTGGACTCCGTTGACATCCTTGTCAGATGTGTGAGAGTGCTGCGGCCGGCGGACTAGCCACCATTTTGGACTGGTTGTTGCTCCGCAAGTGCGGCACTCTTTACTTCGATCGCTTGTTGCGTTGTCTGTATTGGCTACAGCGGTATCGGAAGCACCTGTAACGCCCTCGTCTGCCGACTTTGGTAACGAATCTGCAGGTGAACCTCGAATGCTGCGGGTGATGACTTTCTCGTTTGGCGCCGGCTGGTCACTTTTATATCCATTGACGGCTGACGTCCGCCGAGCAGTCAAAAGTGGAGCATGAGCTGTTGTAGAAGTGTTATGCGAGACGAATTGAGCCGCTCTTCGAACAGTGCCTGTGATGCTCTCGTCGACATGTTTGAAGTTCCGGGCGAAAAGCTGTAATGCGGAAATCCCTTCGTCAGTGGGCTCAACCATGGAATGCTGTATTGTCTGAACAGCGTGATGGGAGCACCAAATAGCTGCAGTGGCAGATCCCACCTCCTCTCCAAGTTTAATTGTTGTGACGACGTCTCTCCTCGAACTTTTGACAGGCGTGACATCGAAACCAAAGATAGCACCCGCCTGGTGAGCACAACCGACGTGAAATTGAGCATTACAGGTTGAGAGGTGACAGGAGACGACAGGATACTGCCCAGATGATTTGCAAAATTTGCAAATCGGATCGTATTTCTCTGGAGCGATGAAGCCCACGCCTTCGGCAGGCTCAAGCAGCTCGTATTGGCCGAACTTGATTTCCGGAGTCCACAGTGCACAGATTACATGCATCCAGTTGTTCCAGGCGGTCCGCTTCAGGGCCTCACGCGGATTGGCTGGCCGGCCAGCAGCTTCCTGCTCCTGTCGATAAAGTCGTACGGCTTCTTCTACCATTTCTTTCTCTTTCCGCTCCTTCTCTCGTTCTCGATCAGTTTTCTTCTTGTGAGATATCTTCGGTGGTTCCATCAACTCATGCGGCGTGTACTTGACAGGACAGAGCACACATTCATAGGTGGTGGAGACCATAGTGTTACGATCGTTGGAGCACATATCACAACACCACTTCTTAGGATTTCGATCGCGGTGGATTCCATAACACGACTTATGCACGGCCAACCGACAGTCTCGACAACTTAGATAATCATCGCCAGGGAGTTCAATCAGCCCGCACACTGCGCAGGGAAGAATTTTCACCCTGGGTGGCTCTGGTTTGAGGGGCGCCGGCTCGGGCGGCTTCTCTGGTGCAACCTTCTTCTTTTCTACCACAGCTTCCGGCGTACTTGCTGGAGTATCCTTCTCGATTTTTGCTTTCTTCTTTGTGGGTTCGGGGATATGTATGATGGTTGGCGGTACCTCCACGCCTGCAGAGGCTGCGACCGCCGCTGTGCTGCTACTGATGGTATCGCCCGACTCCTGTTGAGCTTCGACGATTGCCCTCATGAGCTCCTCGTCAATGCGCCGCTTGGAAGCACGACCACCGGCGGCCGCAATCTTCTTTGAGACTTCTTCGATACTTTCGAACTGGATTGCGTAGCGTCTCCACAAGTAGGCACACCTACCACAGAGGGCAAGTGCCAGCCAAGTGCCTTTGTCCTTTGAGCTCTTAGACGACGAATCTCCAGGAACCAACGTGCCAGGAGCCGTGGCAGGGGCGCGGCGCCATTGGCGCGATGTTTTCGTAGAACAGAATTTGCAAATGAAACCACGTTTTTTGCGACCTGCCTTTGCAGTATCAAACGCCGAATCATCGTGATCGTCAGCCACATCGTCGAGCAGTTTGATAGCGTTACCATCTTTGTGCTTGACTTCATCAAGTTTCTTAGACTCCTTTTTCGATTTTCGCCCCTGGTAATTGCCCCAAATCTGCCGTCCTCGATCAGTCTTCTTCCACATGTAATAGAATCGAACAATCCGTGAGTGTTTCACTCCAGGTCCAACATGCCTGGACACGTTATGTAGCTCCGAGCCGTATTTCATAACCCCTTCTTCGAAACGTTTGATCTCCTCTTTGCTGAGATCTGGCTCTTTCAAGTCATTTCTGATGTGCAATGACTTCATTGCCGAAAGAGCCGCCTCGATGTCATAATTCTTTTCGTACAGCTTCTCAACGGCCTTGGTCAGAAAATTTGTAGACCACTCTGACAGTTCATACTGCCGCGCAATAGGTTTCACGCGCTCCATATAATCGTCCACAAGCTTCTCTGGAGCAGACAACGTCCCCATCGAATCAGGATAATCGTCATCGCCCCTTGAAGTGAATTTGGACTCATTAGGCATTTTGAATATGACTTGTGCTGTGTACTCTCTGTCCTTTTTTCCTTTGACCTCAACTGGATAGTCTTCACCCCGGGCAACGTAACCTGGGGGCTCATCCATGACCCACTTTGGTCGCCTCAGTCTGTTTTCTCCATCGGCTTCCAACAAAGCCAGGGTCTCCTTAGACGGTTTTGAGGCATCTTTTTTGTGGCTCGGCGGTTTGACGTATTTCTTGCGAATGTCTGCGGATTTGACCAGCTCCACCGGACGACCGTGCCACACAGTAACATTGGCTTGATGCCTTGGGCCCAGTCGAGAACTTGCTCGAGGATATATCCGGTCGTCATAATCCAGTGCATCTTCTGGTTTGCTGTGAACACCCAGGTATCTGTAGGGCCACAGAACTGCTTGAGCAATCTGTTCCGCAGTTGCAGGTGGATGACCACGCTCTTCTACCGCAGCGCTACTTGCTCGGGTGACCTGTAAGCGCGCGATGGCATCCTCTTCGTCCTCTTCTGGGACTTCTTCGTCCCCTTCCGCGGCGGCTTCCCCGATTATAGGCGTGTGTCGCGCTTCCAGCTTTCTCTCCTGTGCCCGACTGCAGGCAGCACAAGCCCAGGCAAATCCTCTGGCGGGTTTCTTGGTAAGTACGGGACGAACACAAGCCATGTGATACGTGTTCCTGCATACTGCGCAGTCAACCGAGTCGTGGCTACAGAACACGTCAGAAATGCCCGAAGATTGTTCGCATCGGAATAACTCACTTTGCGGCATAGCCAGCGCATTTTTTACAAGCTTTTACAGCACTAGTAAGCTCTTTACCGCGCCCAATCTCAACCAGAACGAACTTCCACCTCTCATCAAGCACCTTCTTCACGTGCTGCGGAACGTTGATGACCTTGTTCGTTGGGACGACTTCATAATAGCGATGGATGTAACGGTCGAACAGCTTGTCGAACCAGAATGAGTCCTTCTTGACACGATACTCGTCGAGGTTAGGGATTTCAGACAGATGGTGGATCTGACATTTGCCGCGTAAAGCAGTCAGAGGACAGGTGTCGGAGTGCATAGAAGCGAACACCACCCGAGTATCCTGAACTTTACGTTGTATATCCTTCGGCCGATAATACCAGTTTACGCGGACAGATTCAACTGGTGCCTTCGGATCACTCCTTACATGTAAGAACTGCATGATGCGCGCAAGGTAGTACGGTTCTCCCGGTGGTTCACACACAAAATAGGCGTGGTCTGGCAGGTAAAAAGAGTTAGCAAAACCTTGGTCCTAGCGAGGACGGGACGTCTCACCGTTTATTGAGATTGCGGTACCATCGTCCGCTTTAAGTTGTCTATTGGCATCGAGGTAACCTCCGTAATGGTCAAATGTCATCATGTTGGTCTCCGGTTGAAATCTTGCACTTGTCTCTGCAGAACCTTTCGGCCTTGCTGAAATAGAATGACTAGTCGTTGCCGTCATAGTCGTGCTACTACCAGGCTGCTTTCTCTTCTTCGACGCCGTGATCGGTGCCGGGTTGGCAGCAAACGAAGACATGCCAGGTAACGAATCCCTTGGGACCTGCGCATTGGCTGATGCAGGCTTGGGGACACCATTAACAGCAGAAAGGCCTCGTCGCGTGGTTGAATCCGACAGATTCTCCGCCGGATAGCTCTCTGCTGAGCTACCGTTCTTTCGTGCCGGTATCGCTTTGATGTGGATCCCATTCATCTCACCATCCATCTCGACGTCTTTATCCTCAGCATAATTGGGGCGCGAGCCACCTGTCCGTTGTCTAGAGCGGGTGCCATACGGTGCTGCTGCTGCGAACTCCAGATCGTCAGGAGTGGCAGACTTGGATGGTGGGGACGCAGGCGCAGATGTAAGCCCTGACTGCCCCGATGTCTCAGCCATTACGGCGTCCGGTGCAGGGGAGAGATTTGTCTGGTCGCTTCGTGATTCATGAGACGGCGACTGACCGGGTGGTAGGTTCGAACCATTTTCGAGGGAGCCAAGAAGGTGTGCAGCTGCGGGAACAGGAAGGCCAAGATGGTTGCCATTCTGAACTGACATGGTCCCAAATGGCGCGGTTTGCCTTCCGGCAGTTGACAAGGCCGTTCAAGCCTTCGGATCTAAGGGTTGTCCCTTTCAAGGCATATGGACCTAAAATCGCGCGCAGGATCTTGAAGGCGGAGGTCTAGCAGGGTTGAACGGCGGCAACGCATTGGCAACTGTGCAAAGTTGTTGAAAGACTTTAACGACGAACAAGATGAGAGCTTGTGCACCAATACTTAAGATCTTGAGTGCCAGAAGGGTTGCGTCGAGGCAAAGGAAATGAGCCACACGTTTAAGCCTGGGAGGAAAGAGCGGCGTGCATCAGGGTTTCGAGATAGACGGAGGAGAGAGCATAGTCAAGAACGCCGAAATACAGCCTCCCAACTTGGGAAAAGATATACAAAACGGGTTGCAAAGATGAGGACAAAGCCAGAACAGAACAGCCGACAAGGTTGAGACTGGGGAATTGATGGTAGATGTGTGAGAGGGCAGGAAGCGGGAGGCATTCTTCTCCTCTGTAGGGCGGATGATTGTTAGTTCGTTAAACCTGGCCGCCTCCCGAGGCCATGATCAATCATCTACTACTTACTAGTAACTAGTAACTCAAATACGGCTCTCTTTCTTGGCCAATCTGTACCACACTCAGCACCATGACTACATTCCTCCTACTGAAACAAGAACGCCTCGACATGCTAACATACTGTCCACGATACACAACAGCCTGGTCGGAAGAAAGGCAGCAGTTACAAGATGCAGCAGTGTTTTGGGATTGCACCTGATGTCTGACTCTACTGGATCCCTGTGATCCTCTTACCACAACCGCCAGCAATAATAGCAACAGCCGCCGTCGCCGCTGGTGGCAGAAGAAAACAATATGGTGGACAACTTTCCCGACGGAATAGCCTCTGTTGCCTCTAGCTTTGGCTATATGTGGTACTTCGCCATAGTTATGAAGGAGTAGCCAGCTTGCTCCTCCTTACAATTAATTGTCCAAAGCAGCAAGCGTGTATGCTCGGTTGCTGGTACTTAGTTGATGACACCAAGCCTGCCTCTAGGGACTGTTCTGAAATCCAAGCATTCGAAATTCCTAAAGCCGCTTGCCTCATGACCATTCGGTGCGCATCCGGATGTGAGGCAGATGAGTTGGTACGTCGTTGAAACGAGCAGGGCGGTGCGGGAGCTAGATCCTTTTAGGCAACATGCGCATACCTTAGTTCTCTGCCAAGACATCCTCAAATTCACTGTTGTTTCTGCTTCGCGTAATTTTGCATGTTGTGATTGTGATGCCTCATGCACTCCCTTCCCACGTGTCGGAATCGAAAATATGCCCATGATGTCGTTCTTCCCCATTTCGCAATTAGGCGTACCTAACAGAGCCTCTGCCGATATCTGTGTTGTGCATGATGGCAGATGCTTCCCACCAGCAAACCATCAACAACTACGTTCCAGAGACATCCATTGACCTGCTTCGCAAACATACATTTCACACTACCTCTCTTGCAGGTATTAAGAGGCCTCATTGGCAAGGATCTGTGACCGCCGCACATGGAAACCAATCAGGAGACGTGCAATTGGTTAATGTCAATGACCATCCTTCACTTCCAGCTCCTCGACTCCAAGCAAGCTCAATCATAACCGTACCTCTGCCGCAGGAACCTTCGAAGGCTGCTCAGCAATCCGAATATTCGCAACGGAGGCATCTGGCATCCACGCCAGGTCTTAGCCAGAACCCTCTGCTCTCTTTGAGACATTCAAGGTATGGACTCCCGGAGCAGTTGGTCTCAAACCTCGAGTCAATGGGTGTACGCTCTATCTACCCCTGGCAGTCTTCCTGCCTTCTGGGAAAAGGACTCCTGTCAGGTGAGACAAGTCTCATCTATACAGCCCCAACCGGGGGAGGCAAATCTCTAGTTGCCGACGTTGTCCTATTGAAAAGAATCATTGAAGATCCAAGCAAAAAAGCAATTCTTGTCTTGCCCTATGTTGCTCTTGTCCAAGAAAGGATGAAGTGGCTTCGGAAACTCACGGAAGGAGTTACGAAGAACTTGGATACATCCAATGCACACGGCACTGCAGCTAATTCTAAGATGATCTGGAAGAAACCTCACAACCATGTGCGCGTTGCTGGCTTCTTTGGTGGCAGTACCGCTCGAACAACTTGGGTGGACATTGATATTGCTGTTTGTACCATCGAGAAGGTTAGTTCTGGTCTCATGAGGTGCTTCAGCTCGTTTGACATGTTGCCAGGCAAATGCTTTGGTCAACGCAGCAATCGAAGAAGGCAGGATCGACGAATTACGCGTCGTGGTGCTGGATGAACTGCATATGATCGACGAGGAAAATCGTGGCTACATCATGGAGCTCATGATTACGAAGTTGTTGGTTTTGCGGCAGAACATACAGCTTGTGGGGATGAGCGCGACGCTTTCAGTAAGGGTCTTCAATCATATTATGCGACGCAGCTAAGATTATCTCAGAATCCTAAACTGTTAGCTGACTGGCTTGGGGCGAAATTCTACGTTTCAAGATACCGTCCAATACCGATAGAAGAATACCTGGTATATGAAAATTCCATCTACGTTACGGCCAACGCAAAGGACTTCTTCCGTACAGCCAGTCAACTGACCTCAGCAAATGCTACCGAACCAAGTCCCACGCCTTGTCGAACAATATGTGCTTCTCTACATCGTGACCTCGCAAATCCGGTGCTCAATGCTGTTGTTGCACTTGCTTTGGAGACTGCTATTAGTGGTTATGGAGTACTGGTCTTCTGTAGCAGTCGTCAAGGATCGCAAAACTTGGCTGTACTCATTGCTGAGGCTATGCCGACCGGAACAAGCTCCCTGGATGTGCTTGACAGAAGAATGGATCTGCTAGCAGCACTCCAAGCGCTTCCTGGCGGCTTCGAACCAGCTCTTTCACAGACTCTCTTACAAGGCGTAGCTTTCCATCACGCTGGATTGACAAGTGAAGAGAGAGAGATTGTTACAGATGCATATGACCAAGGTGCCCTCAAGGTGATGGTGGCAACTTGTAGCTTGGCAGCTGGTATCAATTTGCCAGCCAGGAGAGTCATCATTAATGGCGGTCGGATGGGTCGCGAACTCGTTGGCCCGGCCATGCTTCGGCAAATGCGTGGAAGAGCCGGCCGAAAGGGAAAGGACGAGGTTGGCGAAAGTTACCTCTGCTGCCAGAAGACTGATTTGGAGGCAGTGGCGCAGCTTCTGGAAGCTGAGCTGCCAGGTGTGCAAAGCTGCATGAGTTCGGAAAAGAGAGGGATTAAAAGGGCATTGTTGGAGATCATTGTGACCCGCCTGGCAAATTCACGACATACTGTTGAGGATTATGTCCGAAAGTCCCTCCTCTTTCAAACCGCTGATCGCACGAGGGTGTGGTCGATGGTTGACGCCGCCATCGAGGACCTTTGCAGGACTAGCCTCATCCAAACTACCAGCTTCGACTCGTTTGAGCCGACTACTCTTGGGCAAGCCATTGTGGCTTCTTCATTGACCCCGGAAGATGGCATCTTCGTACACAATGAAATGCGTCGCGCCCTCGAATCTTTTGTCATGGATGGCGAGATGCATATCTTCTACCTTTTCACGCCTGTTCAGACCACGACCATCGGAGATATTTCATGGCCAGTCTTCCGTGATCAGATGGGAGCTCTGGACGAAAGTGGTCTTCGAGCGCTTCGTTGTATCGGAGTAAGCCCTTCGCTGGTGAATAGCTTAGTCAACAGCGGTACCACATTGAAAGAGAACACCCCCGACGAGATATGTCGGGCTCGGACTTACCGTCGTGCCTTTGCGGCATTCCAGCTGCGCGACTTGTGTAATGAGATACCCATTCATAAAATCAGCTCCCGGTATTCTGTGCCTCGTGGTTTCGTGCAGACTTTGGCGCAGACCTGCCATGGCTTTGCGGCAGGCATGATCAAATTTTGCCAGCGGATGGGATGGGGTATGCTAGCCGCAGTGCTTGAACACATGGTGGACAGGCTACGAGCTGGTGCGCGAGCAGATTTACTGGAGATGGCCCAAGTCACTCATGTCAAGAGTCGCATGGCAAGAATCCTATGGGAGAATGGCTTCAAGAGTGTAAGGGCCCTGGCAGAGGCTGAAGCAAAGGACCTGGTGCCTGTCATGATGCTGGCCCAGAGCAGGAAATTGCGAATGCAAGGTGAAGCGAGAGATAAGCTCATGTTGGCGCTAAAGCAGAAGGCCGAGGTGATAGTTGGGAGCGCGAACAGGTTGTGGGGGAGGCAACAATTGGTGGAGATTGAGGATGAGTGCTGAAGTACTCCGTATACCCATATACCCATATATATTGTGTATGCACTTACTTGTAGCTGCAAAATGTTAGCCTGACAGGTGCCAATGTAAGGTACGGAAGCGTACTTCAATGTAGGACAACAAAATTGATACAGGCGATGCTACCGCCGAGGAGTCATTTACTATCCCCGAGCGTGGGGGTACGCGTAGTAAGTTAGTAGTACGGAGTACGGGAGTAGTGATCGTAGAATTCTGCTCTCCAGAGCCCTTAGTGCTGCATGGTTTAGTCTTGTATGTGACTTCTCCCCCACTGTCACCAGCATGAAGCGTCTCAAGCTACGGTCCCCTGTGCGAATGTTTTAACTAATCGTGTCCTCGTGAGCCAGTCAGGCTTTCAGTTCGTCCGCGGAGCTCAACATGGCCGCATTTTTTGCCGCATGCTACTTTACGTACTACGTAGTAGCTGACTGCTAGTGACTTGGTAGTTAGTGACGAACTGCCATTAGCTTGACGGATTAACTTCAGCAACTGAGGCTGCCCCATTATTGGCCCCACCAGCTCCCTGCTCTCTTTGCCTCCACCTTTCGCCTTCATATCTCCCAAGTCGAGTACCACCCAATTAGGCATTGCCTTCACCAGACTCCTTGTCCAGACGATCCTGTGATCTCTGCGACACATCAGCATGAACCTCTGGTCGTCAAGTTGAGTTACTCAACGTTGTTCCGCGTGCCCACACGCGGGCCCATACCGGTTGCGGTGGTCACTTTAGCACCACTGACCTGTGACAACTGCAATGAATCAGGACTCAACGACGGCATGGCATCAACCGCTCCAAGATGATCCCATGCTTGTCGCTGGCGATGACGATTTCTCCAACTTCCTCCAACTCGGCATCGATTTCCCCGGATTCGACGAGACACAGACTGGGCACAATGGCTTTGACACTCCCATGGGAGACCTCGGCATGGAGCAGCTTGCGATGGGGAGCTCGGTGGAAGATTTGCGTGGCCACACCGTGCCGACAGGAACTTCTTTATCCGATCCAGGCCGAGATGATCTGATACATCAGTATGCAAAGATTTCCGATGGCCCAGGCTCGATATTCCACGCACCAGCAATTCAACATCAGCACGGCCACCAGCTTCATCATCATCAACAACATCAACATCATCGAAAGCATGATGTTCAAAGTTCGACATACGAGCCTCGGATCATGGTGCCACCTACTCCCCAGAGCAGCGAAATGCAAGGTGCAGCTGCGAGGTACTATCATTACGTCGATGCGGATGGTCTATCAGACCTCGATCCATATCAAAGACATAGGAATGACCAAGTGAGTTCCAGACAGCGACGAAGTTTCTAGTCTCTAATTTACCCAGATGACATTCACCCCTTTGGTGTCTCCGGCTGTCACACCAATAGATCCGAACTTACGTTTCCCGGATTCGACAACTCCTGGAGAGTACTTCAGTCCTTTGAGCTCACCTGCCATAGAAGCGCAGAACGGACATCCACGTCGAAAGATCCGTCTACAGATCACAACACCCAAGCGCGGCTCAGTCACATCACCTGTAGATCAATCGGTCGAGACGCCAAGTGTACCTAATTCTGCTCGTGTAGCAAGTAGAAAGGACAGCCGTAAGCTCTCTATGTCGGGCAGAGCATCTGGGCGAAATGTGCGTCAATCGCCGCTCATCAAGCCCCATGGGCGTCGCAAGCAAACATCATTGAACATATCACCCGCCGGACTTGCTGAGCTTGCCGAGCACAGCCAAATCTCAAACGCCTATGCAGCAGAAGCTTCGCCAAATCCTCGAGCCCGCTCTACCAACAGTGATGGATCTGGTCAGAGCTCTATCTCTCCAGAACCCTTATCAGAGGCTCTGATGCCTCCGCCTAGCCTGCCGCGATCGGCTGGCAAGTCTCCAAACATCGTTGGGAAGAATCAAAGCCCCACCACTGCCAACGAACCGGTGACTCCGGCGACTTTGATGCGACTGCCCAACAAAGATTCCTCGCCTCCAATGCCGAATCAGGGATCTGGCCGGATTTTCGTGCCTAACAATGAGCTAATGGAAGATATCATGCTTCCTGAGTCAGCAACGACGACCTTACCACCATTAACCATCGATACGACCAGGTCGGTTGCCGACGATGAGGTTACACCAACCTTATCCGCAAAGACACCCAAGTTGTCGGCAAACAGCACCCCAAGGACATCCGTAGCGACCACACAGGTCAGATCTCCATCGGACGTGACTCACAAGCGAACAGAATCGCGGGCAGGAAACTCAATGAAAGCTCGCCAAGCTGGAGCTCCCTCGCATGTGAGCCCTGCTATACGGCCAAAGATCAGCCCGAGCATTAACCCACTTGTACCACATTCTAGTAAGTCATCAATTTCAAATAGACACTAATCTAATACTTACCACGCTGTAGATCCGGGCACACCAGCGATCTCTGCAGAAACATCGGCGCTGTACCTCGCCTCCAAGTCAAATTATCAGAATATTCTAGAGGGTACGCACCTCCCTGGCGTGTCATATCCTGAGGCTCTAGCAGAGAATCTGAGCTCGAAGCGGACCAGTCACAAGCTCGCGGAGCAAGGACGTCGTAACCGAATCAACGTGGCGTTGAAAGAAATGGAGAGTCTGCTACCACCTACACCAGCCACCAAAGGTAAGAGGGACAGATCCGGCAGCATTGATGGTGACTCAGGCGATAAGGCAGCTGCTGCAGGCAATAGCAAAGCAAGTACGGTGGAGCTCGCCATTGCCTACATTAGGTCGCTACAAGCCGAGTTATCTGAGACGAAAGCCAAGCTCGCGGATCAAGAGAAAAAGCTGGAGGATAGAGAGAAGAAACTGGCAGAGGTCAACAGCAGCGGTGACAACGCCAGCGTATCTCCGCAGTAGATGGGTGGGAAAGGCGATCGGCGTTTGCTTTGGATGCAACAATTGTTGGCAGGGATAGAGTCGTGGTGGACAATACTATGTAATGAGTCACAAACGATTTTAAGAGCATTACAGATGTCAGATGGATTGCTGTACATATACTTGATTTGCCTTGATGAAATGCTGGCCGCTTGCGGTGTGAGGTGAGAAATGATCTGGCACTCTTTGGTTCTAGCCTTACTTTTTCGTCCTCCGGTCTACAGCTCTAGTTAGGCACATTTCTACGAGCATAGCTCAGAGCCGAAAATCTCTTTAACCCAAGAATATCTACAATATATGTTCAGTTTTCATGTCTCATTCTTGCCTGGTGGCCGCCATAATATGACTATGTAGGAGTCTGGAGGCTGTAAATTGTCTTGTAGGGTTTCCATCTGTCCTATTGATCTTCCAGGCACCAGCAGAGCTCAGCTGGCGGGGACAAATAGCGGAATGTACCATAGTACTAGCCCCTGGAAGAGCCGCAAGCTTAATTTAGGCGCCCGGATGACCTTCCAGATCGAGCGACGAGAAGATTCCATGGGGGCCGGCAAGCAGAAGATCGAAGCTGGTAGAATCAGCTAGTCAGTGCCTTTTTTTTCTGCTTCGAATGTTTGTCCTGCAACTCTTCATCTACCAGCCTTTACCATCTTTCTCAACAACAAATTTCTCTTCACACCCCAGACACCCATTCTCCAACGCCTACTAGTAGTAGCTACAGCAAGCGCATTCAATCCATCTACACTAGACTTTGTAAGTCCTCATTCAAGTGTGCCGGTTGTGAAGCTTCTGCCATTCGCGCCGCTACCCAACCCAGCTTCCAAGCTCTTTCATTCACGTCAACCTTACCTTACTCGCGAATCCAAGCACTCAGCAAGCAAAAAGTATACTAACGTCTTTCTGACCCAGCCTCTCACATTATCAACACCAACCCGCAATCATGTCTGCTGAGACTTTCGAGTTTCAGGCTGAGATCTCGCAGCTCCTGTCTCTCATCATCAATACTGTCTATTCCAACAAAGAGATCTTCCTCCGAGAACTGATCTCCAACTGTTCGGATGCTCTCGACAAGATCCGATATGAGTCGCTCTCGGATCCTAGCAAACTTGACTCTGGCAAAGACCTCAGAATCGACATCATCCCAGACAAAGCCAACAAAACTCTCACCATCCGCGATACTGGTATTGGCATGACCAAAGCTGTAAGTGAAGGAATTCTCGTTAACTCAGGCACATGACTGATTTACATTAAGGACCTCGTCAACAACCTTGGCACTATCGCTCGATCCGGGACTAAGCAGTTCATGGAAGCGTTGACTGCCGGAGCTGACATCTCAATGATTGGTCAATTTGGTGTCGGTTTCTACTCCGCCTACTTGGTCGCAGATAGGGTCACTGTCGTTTCAAAGCACAATGACGACGAGCAGTACATCTGGGAGTCGAGTGCTGGTGGCACCTTCACCTTGGTACAAGATACCGAAGGCGAGCAGCTCGGCCGCGGCACAAAGATCATCCTCCACTTAAAGGACGAGCAGAGCGACTACCTCAACGAATCTAAGATCAAGGAAGTCGTCAAGAAACACTCCGAGTTCATTTCCTACCCCATCTACCTCCATGTCTTGAAGGAGACGGAGAAGGAAGTCGAAGATGAGGAGGCAGAAGATGCCGAGGAAGATGAGGAAAAGAAACCCAAGGTCGAAGAGGTAGATGAGGACGAGGAGGACAAGAAGAAAGACAAGAAAACCAAGAAGGTTAAAGAGAGTAAGATCGAGGAAGAGGAGCTTAATAAGACTAAGCCGATCTGGACTCGCAACCCCTCCGACATCACTTCTGAGGAATACGCCTCGTTCTATAAATCACTGTCTAACGACTGGGAGGATCACTTGGCTGTCAAACATTTCTCTGTTGAAGGTCAATTGGAATTTCGTGCCATTCTCTTCGTTCCAAAGCGCGCTCCGTTCGATCTCTTTGAGACCAAAAAGACCAAGAACAACATCAAGCTCTACGTTCGACGCGTCTTTATCACCGATGATGCCACGGATCTCATTCCTGAGTGGCTCAGCTTCGTCAAGGGTGTTGTCGACTCTGAGGATCTGCCACTGAATCTGTCGCGGGAGACTCTTCAACAGAACAAGATCATGAAGGTCATCAAAAAGAACATTATCAAGAAGACTCTCGAGCTCTTCAACGAGATTGCCGAGGACCGTGAACAATTCGACAAGTTCTACACTGCCTTCAGCAAAAACATCAAACTCGGCATTCACGAGGACGCTCAAAACCGCCCAGCTCTTGCCAAGCTCCTCCGCTTCAACTCCACCAAGGCCATCGAGGAGACTACATCCCTGCAAGACTACGTGACCCGCATGAAAGAGCACCAGAAGCAGATCTACTACATCACTGGCGAGTCTCTCAAGGCTGTTCAGAAATCCCCCTTCCTTGACGCTCTCAAGCAGAAGGATTTCGAGGTGTTGTTCTTGGTTGACCCCATCGATGAGTACGCTATGACGCAGCTGAAGGAGTTTGATGGCAAGAAACTTGTCGACATCACCAAGGACTTCGAGCTCGAGGAGAGCGATGAGGAGAAGAAGGAGCGTGAGAACGAGGAGAAGGAATTCGAAACTCTTGCCAAGAGCTTGAAGAACGTTCTTGGTGACAAGGTGGAGAAGGTCGTTGTCTCACACAAGCTCATTGGCTCTCCTTGTGCCATCCGAACCGGTCAATTTGGTTGGTCCGCCAACATGGAGCGCATCATGAAGGCTCAAGCTCTCCGCGACACCTCGATGAGTTCCTACATGTCTTCCAAGAAGACCTTCGAGATCTCTCCTAAGTCACCCATCATCAAAGAGTTGAAGAAGAAGGTTGAGTCTGACGGCGAGAACGACCGAACTGTCAAGTCCATTACCCAGCTTCTCTACGAAACTTCTTTGCTTGTCTCTGGTTTCACCATTGAAGAGCCTGCAGGATTCGCCGAGCGCATTCACAAGCTTGTGTCACTTGGTTTGAATGTGGACGAGGAGGCAGAGACGACTGAAGAGAAGGCGGAGGAAGAGGCTCCTCCAGCGACTGAGGCTGCAGGCGAGAGCGCTATGGAGGAGGTCGACTAGATGCAGTTGTCTTGATATTGGTGCTCGCATTCTACTAGCGTCTATTCCACGGGCACAGCTTTGCAAAGTCTTTTTCCAGGTTTCCCTCCCACTTTGCGGCAACCATCCGGGGTTTCTTCGTGTACTTACCATACCAAGGTGTGTCAGGTAGACTTCATACATGAAAAGCGTTGAAAATCCTCCATTGCCCACCGACGTCGTGCCTTGAAATAATCCCGTGTCTGTACCCGTCGACCATAATGGATCAGATGCAGCCAGATGTGTCTTGCTATTTTTATTCATTTGCAAATCGGTTCACATCGCAATTACTTTGCAAATTTGTTCAATCACGCCAGTCACAGCTTCGAGCTTGACAAATTCTAGACTCTGGAGTGGACAAGATCGTGGTTTCCTCAACTATCGTCCACATGTTTCAAGATGCCAGTCTTTTTATCATCTTCATTTTAAAAGCACAATCCTCTGTCTTCTACTTCTCGTCAGTCTTCATTCCCTGGCTCCCCATCAGATTTTTGACTTTCTTTCGCTTGAGCACGACACGTTTTGATCTCCTCCACATTATCAGGTCTGCGAATTAATCGGCCAGAGCTTCGTTTCCCTTGCTATTCCCAAGAAACCGTTGCTGCCATGATGTTCTCTATTCCAGGCTTTGGTTTGATTCTTCTAGCCAGCATCGTCCGAGCCCAAGTGGACAATGGGTGTGGCACCATATCTCCTGCTTCGACGATTATGTCTCCAACCACCATCTCGTCCTGCACCTTGTTCTTCACCCCCTCCATGCCAGCTCAGGAAGGTCCAACAAGCACAGTGTGGGCAACTATGATGACCACACAGTTCAACGTTGTCAATTGCAACTACTGCCAGATCTCCAATGTGGCCAACAACCCTATGCCCACTGTAGGTGTTCATCGGATCTGATGCTCGAAATCGTTTGCTCACTGTTTCCAAGGGCCCCTTCACCACCAAGATCACCTCTGACTACCTGTTGATTACGCAAATTGCCTGCATCCCCAATACTTCAGGTTTCACCCGCCGACACGCTCTGCCAGTGGCAACGCCAGAGCCAACAGCTTTATACATCCGCGGTGCTAAGCCTCAGACCCTCACACCGATGGTGAAGAAGTCGGTCCCAATACCCAAGCTGGCCGAACGTCTCAGACGTCAAGCATCTCCTCAAGCCACCGGTGATGCATTGATTCTGACTGGAGAAGCCTCCCGGCTGATCGAGCAGCTCTTCACCGTGATATACTCCATTGGTGTGATCAATTCTGCGACCGATCTGCGGCAAACTTGTCTTCAGCTACAGTCAGCAAATGCTGTGCTCGATCTGGACCGAGTTCGCCTAAATGCAACGCAAGCTGCCTCCATCGTCTGTGCCGCTTCACTTCCAGGCGCTGATCTGGTTTCTTTCAACCAGACATTAATTGCGAAGGCTGCAGAGGGTATATTCAGCGTTCAGATTGCTGCAAACTTCACAGGCACCGTCGAGACCAACAGGCTCTGCGATCAGCTTGATCTCCGCTTCTTACCTGGGCTTGGTGTCGACGCCAACGCAGTCAAGAGCTTTGTCTGCAATGCCAACAATGGCACATTCACCACAACAGGTACCGACAACGCCACTTCCACAACAACGTTAGCCACCAACAATTCGACACTTACTGGTTCGGATGTGCTCTGTGCTCCAACGATTGCTCCGTCTGCGGGGACCACGATACCTTTTCCATTTTCCAATTTTACTGCAGGGGCTCTTACCATGGCTGGGACCATTACCGTCACCGGTCCCGCAGGCACTGCTGTCACTGCACCATGGGGCACTGGCTTTCCTGCTTCAGGCAGAGGCCTTTTCTCCACTGGCAATCTCACCACAGCTACTGGCTGCATAGGATTTGATACCCTTGTCACTGCTACTGGAGATCTTCCTGCAGGTACTGGCAACGTTGAAAACAGTACTACCGCTGATGTCACAAGAAACCTTCTCACTCCTATCGGCACCGCTGAAACCGGTTGCACATTCAATGGCACTGGTAACCTTGCTGCAGGCACTATCACTGTTGCACCTGTGACCGGTGTCTCTGTGACCGGTGATGCATCGGCAGGTTATGCTATGTCCACTGTGGATCCCGAGTCCAGCCTCGCAGGGTATGGACAAGAACCTTCAGAGCGCTTGCCACGTGGACCGAATTCAACACCCAGGTACTACCCAAAATACTTTTGAGGATCGTCGACATGGAAGCAAACCTTATCTGACGGGTTCACATGCTGAAGCATGGGGGAAAGAAACGCATTGCCGGTGAGCAAGGTTGGCAAGAATCGGAAGAGCGAGTCTGTCCGTTATTGATGAAGGACATTTCTTACGCTGCATGGCTCAAGTGAGCGTTGTCAACCTTTCTCTTAGCTGTGATGAGCATATTTTAGCATTGTCAGAGGTATGGCTGGTAGATGGCGATGACATGGACAGTGTGTCAAGAACAGTATTATGTCGTATAGACTGATATATTAGAAAGACATTACATACAATGAAATTACCTAATTTTCGAGCACAGCTGAACAATATTGCTTCTTCGACATTCATTCCAAGTCGAGCTGTCAAGGACTCAAGATGCAGCAACGGAATAGTAATAAGTGTAGTCGTGCTGTACGTAAGCATGTGGTTTGTCTACCATAAGTCCGCTCTTATCCGGTCACAACCATCTCAAATCACAGTACCATAGCCAGATCCCTTGCCCATCATCCCATCAGCCACCATTCAGTAAAGGTGCATCGACGTACTTCGTTGCTGCTTCGTTTGAACTCCAGGCAGTGCGTGAGCTGAAGTGATCCGTGTGTTTGTTCTTTTCGTTGGGCACAAGCCTACTGTCGAGCATTTTGATTGCCTATTGGCCAATTTTGCTGCGTTAAATCCCTGCTGTTTACCAGCGTTTGATTGGTCAGTCTCTACCACAATCTCGGAGCAAATGCTGCCTATTTGTACGTATTCCGACGCACTCAGCTCTTTGATAGATTATACAACTTGCTTTCTACTCACTCAAGGAGGCCGTTGAACAGCTACCCTAGCACGCTATCGGCCAATCCTTAGTGCAAGTCACCATCACCGATTACACTGGCGAGGACAAATCGTGTATTCGAAGCTTTGATCAATGTCGAGGCCAGTACTCGATCTCATGGACGGTGAATCTAGGCAAGCAGGGGAAAGGAAAGGCTCTGAAAATGCTGGCTATGGCCTCGCACTACAAACAGAGTGGTTCTAGTACCTTCTAATGTCGTGAAACGAACAGGTCAAATCAAATGGCGTCCTATCCTCCAGGGACCTGCGAGGCTCAGGTGACCTACATATGAGACCTACCAAGAACAAGAAGTTGGTATTACCGCTGTTGAGGCCGGCCTCCAGAGCGTTATTCCATATCACTACCCAAGCAAGATGGCGGGGCATACAATATCAAAGCCACCAAAGATCTCGTTCACTCAGGAGCGCCGTATGTCCATCCAGGTTGAATGTGTCGACAATAGTGAATGTACAAAGGATTGGGGGCACTATGGGACGCAGCCAAGCACCCTTGAGCGAGGAGGGCTGAGTGTTTGGGTCGGTAGGCATTTGCTGGACAAAGGTGAATCGGGTGCAGCTGACCTCGGACTTGCATGAAGCTGCCGGTACGCAATATGCAGTTAGCTAGCTAGTATTGATGTTGAGTGGGTGAGGGAGGCTGTGGCAGGTCTCGAAGCGGTTGACCCCATGAGGAGCTGAAGTAGCCGAGTGCTTTGCTGCAGGCAATACTACGGTTTCAGGCAGAAGGAATGTTAGCTCAGAGCTAGTAAATTGGAGGCGGGACAGGGGACTGAACATAGCGACTAATACTACAAAAACTAAGCGGTATTAATTAAAGTAATTTAAGTAATTTGTATGGATGATCACAAATGAAGCTTCTGAAAGAGAGTGTGGTAATGTATGGATACTAGTCGTTCTCAGCACCATGGTAACATTATTTATCCCCCTTACCGTAGTAGCTAACATGGGATTCTGCATACTACGCTACTAACGTAGTACGTACTACGTAGTAAATAGTAGCACGGAGGTCGGCGGTAACTAAATCCTTTCTGGGCCTGTTCATGCACTAGCGTGGGCACGATACTTATCGATCGTTGGCGCCTCTTTACGAATTTCTGAATCATCTTCTACTAATCAACATACCACGTTACTGCCGAGTGATCCCCTGCATGGGAGAATGGTGAGGGTGTCTATGGTCTTGTTCGTGGAGTTGCCTGTTATAGTATAGTGAGTACTCCGTAAAGGTCTTGCGATATGGTTTGTCATGCTTGTCTAAGAAAGAAAAAAGTATGTATAACTAATAGGGGGGCTTAACACATGATGCCATTCAAGTTCCGGCGTTCCTAAGCCAACTGCCCCTCCATTCTAAGTACTCCGTACCACTTCCCATATATTTCTCACATATCACCTACATTCTCACTCCTTTTACTTCACAAGCCATTAAATCACAGACAAGTTTCTTTGCTGCCCTCTGCCTTTTATTGCGCGCACTATCTTTCGTTATGGCGCCCAAGATCGCGATCATTTTTGTAAGTCCCTCTCGAAATCAATTCAACCTACCAGTCCCACTCGAGTCTATATTTTGCTCCTCTGACAATAGCTTGCAGTACTCGATGTATGGCCACATCAAAACTCTCGCCGAGGCCGAGCAGAGGGGTGTCGAGGCTGCTGGCGGCAAAGCCGATATCTACCAGTAAGAACCTCTACAATATAAAACCTTGGATGGAGTTTTCCGTTTCCATGTCATAAGTCATCGCCACTAATGCCCTTCTCTTCCTAGAGTCGCCGAAACTCTTCCTCAAGAAGTCCTCAGCAAGATGCATGCTCCTCCGAAATCCGACTATCCAATCATCACTCCAGCCATTCTCAAGAGCTACGACGCATTCATCATGGGCATCCCCACTCGCTATGGGAACTTTCCTGCGCAATTCAAAGCTTTCTGGGATCAGACCGGCGGCCTTTGGCAATCCGGCGGCCTATACGGCAAATACGCTTCGATGTTCATCAGCACATCATCAATGGGAGGTGGGCAGGAGTCTACTGCCATTGCAGCAATGAGCACCCTTGCCCATCACGGCATCATCTACGTCCCATTAGGCTATTCCAAAGCCTTCGGGCTGATGTCTGATCTTTCCGAAGCGCGAGGAGGCTCACCGTGGGGTGCGGGCACCTTCGCTGGGGCTGATGGCAGCAGACAGCCGAGTGCAAAAGAGTTGGAATTAGCCGAGATTCAAGGGAAAGGCTTCTACAATGTCGTTTCAAAAGCGTTTCCATGACTAGCCGAAGATGAGCCGGTAAAGCAAGGGGAGACAGTCGAGGAACCAGTGGGCAGTCGCGCCGGAGCAGCCATTCCGTCCCCTGCTGCTGGACAACCTGCTGTTATAAAGGCGGATGAGACCTTGGAAACTCCTGAACGTGGGGAGAAGAGTGGTCCCTGTGGTCTACCGAAAGGCTGTACTATTCTGTAGCTACTGCAACCTAACTTGAATATTTAAAGAATGCTAGAAACACCCCAAGTTCGCATTCTGCACATTATAGTACTTGCGCGTACAGAAGTGAAGCCGATGATCATCCCTGAGACAAGACTTTGACCAAGTGATCATCTGTCTCGAATAAGGCTTACAGGAATTCTCCTTGTCCCCAGGCTGATTGCTCAAGCCCCGTAAATAATTTCTACATCCCGCTCTTGTCTTGACGACCTCCATTCGCGTTCTGGATGTCGAAGCCAAAAGCATTTCTTAGGCAGAGCAAGAGCAAGAAGAAAACAAAGGAGCAGGTCATACTCTTTTTTGGCCTCACTTCTATCATCCCAGTCCTGACGAAGATGTAGTCACCAGAGACAGCAGACGAGTACCAAGCCGGTAAGAAGAAGACCTCCACTTGGCTGGTCACATCAACCCTGATGCAGAGCACTTATAGCTGGAGTCGAACTCGAAGAAGCGGGGGAGAAATGGCGAGCAGGGGATGCCGCAAAGTCGATGCGGTTCTTTATGCGTGCCATCGAGATGTATGATCAAGGCTTACAGAGATATCCGAAGAGTCTCGATCTGGCTTATAACAAGTGCGTCTTTGCTTCATGCTCGTGAGTATTAAATTGATGATTGACACTCTTCCAGGGCTCGAGTTCAATATGAAATCGTTACTCATCCGATGCTTGTCGGGCAATTGCCGGCTCCCTTGATGTCCGTCCTTGAGGAGACTCTGGCATCTCATCGATACGCTCTAGGTCTTGACCAGGACAATGCTGATACGTTGTTCAATACCGCTCAGGTGCTGACAAGTATTGGCGAAGAGATGGCTAAGGACGATTCGGTGTCTGATGTATCTGCCGTGAGGTACCTGGAAGAGGCTCTGGAACTTTTACAGAGATGTCTTGCGCTACAGGGGCTTCGCTATACTGAATTCCAGGAGCAGGCAGCCGAGGTGCTTCAGTGCTCAGAGGAAGCTCACAACGAGGCTATGCCCACGGACGAGGCTCCTGAAACTAAGGCCACTCCAGATGCTGGACCAGAACAGGAACAATGGGCTTCAATCGTCGAGCCTGTCACCAAAGATACCCTCCTCGACACGGCCCTTGCGCAGCTTGCAACGTTGACCACGTTGTGTGGCATATTGGGCTCTTCAGCTCAAGCCCCGAGCGTCCCAAGTCTTGCTTGGATTGAGGAATACTCTTCAACGCTGCTCAACGTACAGCTTCCTACCTTGACCGAAGCTACCGACAGAAGTGTGGAAGCTGGTCTTGCCAGGGCTACTTTCGTCTCGGCTATGCTCGAGGCAGGATACAGAAAGGGCAGTGTTGACGTTCAAACCTACAGAAGGGAAAGAGATGCGGCGTTCTCAGCATTATCTTCACCTACTACCTCTGAGTTTTTAATGGCCAATGTCGCATCCCTGTTGGCCTTCAACAATGCCCTGGCTGAGACAGAGAGCCTGTCAACAGCAGATTCCGACCTTCTCTCCCTGCGGTGGAACTCTTTAGCTACAACCATTTCCAATCTCGCCACAGCCTCGAAGCTGCCTGATATCGAGCCGGACAGTCTTCCCAAAACACACCTACTCAGGGGCGATGCGTCTTTATATCAGTACCAGCTCTCCAAGCCTCCATTATCCTATCCCCCAGCCCTCAAGAATGCCGCCGCTCTGCTGAAGAATGCAGAGGTCTTTTATCGCAATGCTTCGAGATTGACGCATGATGGCCAGGAAAGAGACAAAAGCAGAGCTCAAGAAGCTATCGTAATGATACTGGAGGGCAATGTACAAGGTGGACGAGAACAGCTGAAGACAACTGCAGCGACTCGGGGTGATGAGTGGTTGCGGGATCATATTGACGAGGTGGTTGCTGATGGTCTCTTAACCGACGATGATATCAAAGTTATTGGGTTGAACAATTGAGAATTGCATTGGATATAAGCTGCATACCGCGGAGACTACCAAAGTGTAGGAAAGATGCGGGACTTCTTACATGAAAAGGGCGAGAAGTCGGTCACAACAAATCCACCGCCAGCAATTATTGCGAGCCGGGCCTGGTTCCAAACTGACCCATAACTCTGTCGATGTTCTTCCACAATCGAAAGGAAAAGACATAAGTAAGCGACAGGGAATGTGTGGCCAAGGCCAATGGAAACAATTGAATCGGTGTTGCCTTTGGCGTTACCATTGGTGACAAATTAGCTGGTATGCATCCGCTATAAATGAACCTGCTTATATTCTCATTGGTTTTGGCCATTGTCGTCGTGTCAGTGGCCATTGATTGTTTCGATGGATCTCCGGGTAAGCATTTAGTAACTCCCTACCAACCTGCAGCTGAGTGCTCATTCAGCTTTGCATGCTCAGTGCTCCATGAGCCCTGTTGGAGATAGTTCGTGGAAAGCTGCTTCAACTATTGGACTGAAAAGCTATGCTGTCTGTTATTGGCCTCCAACAGATTGGTCATTCAAGCCTAGAGAATGCCACATACAGGGGTCTATCAGGAAGCCGTTCTCTGTTACAGTTGAAGTACAGAACCAAGTAGTAGGGTCGATGCACCGAAGGAGTGGTTGAAAGGCACCTACTGCGAGAAAAAATACCAAGGCGAAGGATTGGTGATTCTCAGTCATGCCTAGGGCTACCAAATATCTAGCAGGATGAATTGAACGGTACTCGGCTCACGATACACCGTATATCAGCCAAAACCAGTATTTCTCGTCCATCATGCCTGTTGAGTCTTCGCCCTTCCCAAAAACGGGATCGAGGACGTTGTAGACCCCTCCAGAGTTCGATCCGACCACCATCCGAAGCGAAGCCGTCTCGTGTGTGAGATTGGCCAAATGTGTAAACCCAGAGGACCGACTTGCCCAAACTTCCAGCTTCGATCATTGAAGACCCGACATGCTTTGGGTTACCGGATGCCCAGTTCAGCCATCTGAGTCTACCACGACTGGCTGTGGTGGATGCGGGACGGTGGGCATTGAGGCAGCATCGCACATTGCTCACCTGCGGACAATCACATGTCGTGGGTGATGGGGTGATGGAGTGATGAGGCAGTGGTTGTCAGAGCGGCGTGAACGAGGTGAACGAGGTGAGCGAGGTGAGCGACGGGGGAGTTGGCTGCGGTTTTACATACTGGGTGCGGAGGCCCATCGGTTGTTCGGTCCCAAGAGGGCATGTGCTGCCGGGGAATGCCTCTAACCAGCATAACTAACTAACTAGCTTAAGCTTAAGTGCTCCAATCCCCAATTGAGAATGTAAACAGAAGAACAGAAGTCATTGACTACTCGGTGCACACGTCCTGTCCTGTCGAAGCCCACATTTGGTCCGACACCTCCAACGCTACCCAAAGAAGTAAACCAGCAGGGCATCAGCATGGCTCTATCCCGACAAAAATATGCTGATTTACCGGACATTGTATGCCCTCGCCCCTTCGTCTGGATACGCTCCTGGTTTCCGGACTGAGATTCTTAGGACGAAGACGCACCCGAAATATACGAGACCCCCGAACTGACCGATGATGCTTCGACCATTCAAGTAAGCGGCACCATGTCAGCTTGCCATATATTGCTTACGGACATAGTAGACTGCGACACAACGAACAACCTCGCCAGCACCATCAGACGAATTCGACATCGGCCGTCATGACCCGGATGCTGGGGTCGACCGTCAGCGGTTAGACCGGGGCGAAGCACGACGACGTTTCGAACAATCTCGAGTTGATGCACGAGATGCCAATTTCTCTGATAGCCTGAATGGTGGGCGCGGGTCATACATAATTAGCACTCGACGGAGCCGAAGGAGAAGAGATGGTGCATTCCAGGAAGGGGATGAGAGCGATAGTGAGGATGAAAGTCTGGGAAGGAAGCTGGCTAGGCTGAAGAGGGAGACAGAGGAAGTCAAGTCAGAATTGCAGAGAAGGGAGAAAGAGAAAGGTGAGGGCGCAAAGGAGGAAGACGACGAAGGAGTGGAAGATGGTGTTGAAGCGCTCAGCCAGATGCTGAACGGCTTGGGTTCAACATTTCGCGGAGCCCAGCGTTCAAATGGAGCTGCTGGATCGAAGAAACTTGCGTCGGACCTCGTGGAAAAGACCTCGCAATCTGGTCTTCGAGAGCCAGCACCACCAGAACCCTCACCCCAACCCCAGCCATCCACTCTGGCTTCTCTAGCAACCATTTCCGACCGCCTGACAGCTGTGGAAGGCAGTCTGGGCCTCTCCACAACCACACCCACTTCATGCGCACCCATTCTCCCAACCCTGGCGTCTCTCACATCGCAAATCACAACGCTAAGCACCACTCTCTCACCTTCTTCCATCACAAGCCCAAACGCAACCACACCACCCAACCTCAACCTCGAAACCCTCTCAACCCGAGTCCAAGATCTAATCTCTCAAACCGACCAACTCACCCTCCGCCGCAGGGCCGCCACCCAAGCCGCCACCGAACTCCGCCAAGCGCGTCTCAAAGCGGCACGGCGGTGGTGCGTCTCCGTACCTTCAGCCGCAACAACGCCCTCTCGCCCCTTCCGACTCCATCACCACCAATCACAACAACACCAGCCATGCCCTCGAACAAGAAACCCTCTCCACCCTCCTGGCCTACGAAGACCAAACCTCCAAAATCAACGCCCTCTACGCCACCTTACCCAGGATCCAGGAACTCTCCCCCCTCCTCCCGCTTGTGTTGGAGAGATTGAGGAGTCTGCAGGCGATCCACGTCGGTGCCGCGGGGGTGAAGGGGGATTTGGACGCGGTGGAGAGGCAGCAGGAGGAGGTGGGGAGGAGTATTGAGGAGTGGAAGGGGGCGGTGGAGAGGGTTGAGGAGGGGTTGAAGGAGGGGGAGGAGATTATGAGGAGAAACAAGGAGGTTGTTGAAGGGTTGGTGGCCGCCCTGGAAGGAAGGTTGAAGGTGCTGGAGGCGGGGGGAAGGGGAGATTGAGGAGACTCGAGTCAGGAGGAGGACGACGAAGCAGCAAGGGAGCTGAATAATAACATGACAG